TTCCTTATTTTCATCTACCCCTATTTTTTTCTCTCTCATTGTCTTTCTCTTCGTTATCTAACCTTTTTACTTTCTTCCGCCGTTTTTTTTTAAATTCTTGATTTGCTCTTTCAATTTTACTTTATTCTAAATCTGAACACAGTTGTTTCTAAAATCTTGTAACATTCTCCTTATTCGGGGAAGCTTTCAAAATCTTATTTATCTATCGTGACATAAAATTATTTGTTTAAGATTCATCTCTCTCTCTCTCTCTCTCTCTCTCTCTCTCTCTATATATATATATATATATATTATATCTCTCTCTCTCTCTCTCTCTCTCTCTATATATATATATATATATCTCTCTCTCCCTCCTCCGTCAATAATCTCTCCCTCTTTCTCACCCCCTTCCCTATCATCCCCTCTCTGTTTGCATAATTATTATCTCCCTACCTTGCTGTCACTTTCATGTCCTCTTAATTTTGGCGCGGTGCAGGCAGCGTGCCTCCTCGAAGTGGCCCCCTTGTCCCCTCACCCCAGTGCAGCCGCTGGCGACCTTATTTGGTAGCAAACGGCAGGCGAGCAGCTGCCGAGCACAGAGGCACGGGGAGGCCCCAGCCTGGTGGAGGCCGCCCCGATCGAGATGGGGAGGGTCACCGAATCCATCCCTTGTCAACAAAAGAAAGAGAGAGAGAGAGAGAGAGAGAGAGAGAGAGAGAGAACAAAATTGTTTTTAACGCCATCAAGTAGAAATCATCATCCCAAGCATGTTCTTATACGAACCCAATATTTATTCGTATGTATCTTTGGAAAGCACGAATATACCATGTACTGATATAGAGAAAATACAAATCAAAACGACTTTGAAATGAAGCCCCGTTGATACAAAATCCTAATATTTATTCGTACAATGTACCTTTGAAAAACGCCTTATGGTATTACTATGTACTGATATATAAAAAATACAAATTAAAACGACTTTGAAATGAAGCCCCTTTGAAAACTACCAAATATTTATTGGTATGTATCTTTGGAAAGCGTTTTACATTATACTTTGTACTGACATTGAATTCGAATTAAAATCAATTCAATTCAATTTCAATTTATTTGCTCATAAAAATCCAGAAAACACATGCAAACATTCATAAATCAACATGATACAAAGGGTAAAATTCACAAGAAAAATTAATAACAAAGTATACATTTGGATTAAGTATGAGAGGGACAGCAAGAAAGGAACAAGCCTTGTGATTAGCTGACCCTGTAACATAATACACTAAGGACGCTACAAAAAATAACAAATCACTTACAACAACATAAAGGGAGGGGGGTATGCTTATACATTTAAACAAACAAACTTGGTGAATACCTGTCTAAAATAAAGTGCCAAGATTTTGACTTAAAAACATTTAACGAAACTGATTGTTTAATATCTGAAGAAAGAGAGTTCCAGATTTGGGGTCCTTGAAATAATATTGAGTTTTCAAAAGATGAGAGCCTTGGTTTGGGTAAATGAAAATCATTAGCATTTCTTGTATTGTATCCATGATATTCATTATTGAACTGAAAGAATGTTTTAATATAGTCTGGCAAGAGGTGATTGTTACATAAGTACATAAATATAAGTACCTGAAATACATACATATCATGAAATTTCAAAACACCTGATTCAATAAATAAAGGGTTGGTATGGGCAAGGTAAGGTGCATGAGACATATTTCGTATCGCACGTTTTTGTAAAATAAACAATCTATCAATGTGATTATTACTTGCATTACCCCAGACAAGAATACCATAATTAAGGTACGGATATACAATTTCATAATAAATCATTTTAAAAATCTCCTTTGGAAATGATCTTAAACAATACATTATTCCTATATTTTTTGCCAGCTTATTGCACAGACTATCAATGTGATTTTTCCATGTAAGTTTATGATCTATTGTAATGCCTAAAAAGTTTACTGACGTTACACACTTAATATCTGTATTGCACACTCTAATTGAAAGATAATCTGGTATAAATAAATTACTAAAAGTAATATAGCTGGTTTTTGCTACATTGATTATCATTTTATTTGCATAAAACCACTCAGATATTAATTCAAGTTCAGAATTGAATAGATTATGTAAGTCCTGACAGTTAGGATGGGATAAAAACAGACTGGTGTCGTCAGCAAACATAATACAATGTAATAATTTAGATACTTTACTAAGGTCATTTATAAATAAAAGAAACAACAGTGGTCCTAAAATAGAACCCTGTGGTACCCCACATGAGATAGTCCCTTGCTGTGATTTGCATTTAGAAATTTCAACATATTGTTTTCTATTTGATAAATAACTTTCAAATAATTTAAGTACAATACCTCTTATGCCATATAATTCAAGTTTGTGTAATAAAATAGCGTGATCTACTGTATCAAAAGCCTTCTTCAAATCTAAAAACATTGCAATCATATATTTCTTGTTATCAAGAGCATTAACAACAGTGTGAACAAAATCAATAAGAGCCGATGACGTCGAATGTCCAGGACGGAAACCATATTGGTTCAAAGATAATATATTGTACTTGCTTATAAAATCAAATAATCTATTGTACATACATTTTTCTAAAATTTTAGAGAAAATTGGCAAGACTGATATGGGTCTGTAATTTGCAACATTTTCACTTGAACCATTTTTATATACAGGAACCACACGAGCAATGACTTTACTAAGGTAAAGGACGAGCAATGACTTTGAAATGAAGCCCCGTTGATAAAATAAAATCCTTATTGGAGGTCACTTTTGTTCATAATCATGCTCAATCTGTATTTTTGTAATTTTATTTTTTTAGGAACATAAAATGGGTCAGGGTACAGTTTTGTAGGGCTGCACTTTCATAAGATGTGGATAATCATTAAAGTGCTAACATAGGCTATTATGTACATGATGTATACTGTTATAGGGATTTCGTGACTGCTTTCAATTGTTTTCTCACTATTTTTCAGTTTGATATACGTAATAGTACATGTACAATGTTTGATGCAGTTATCCTTGTAATATTGCATAGATATAGAGAATGAAAAGAATGAATGGGTGTGATAAAAATGCAAACAAAATTAATAGAGAGTTATAGAAGAGGAGGAGGTAGAGTGAAAGACAACAAACGGAAACATACACAGGAATACACAGGAAATAGAGAAAGAAGGGGCACAGAAAGAGACGCGACAGATAGATAGACATGCAGAGAAGGAGAATAAGAAAGAAAGAAGAAGAATATGTTTAGGAAAGCTTTATGCGATACAATCATTATATTCTCTTGTATCCCGTGCAAAATAGTGTAAGTGTTATAACTCATAGGGCGTCTTAAAGAAGTGGAAGAAAAAGGGCATGAAAAGTAGAACGATCGAGGGACGAGGAGTGAGAGAGAGAGAGACAGACAGAGAGACAGAGAGAGAAAGAGAGAGTGTGTGTGTGTGTGTGTGTGTGTATGTGAGAGAGAGAGAGAAAGAGAGGGAGAGGGGGAGGGGGGTGAAAATATGGGGTGGGGGACATCACTGCTAATGACCTTTAAGATGCCTACAGGGTGTACATCAGCTCCCATTCAATCTCATTGTAATGATCGAGCTTTCCAAGTTATGATAATAATAACTTTTGTCATAACATTATACACGCGTATAGGCCCATACATTCATCATTGTTTACTACAGCTATATAGGGGGCATTTACACAGATCCGTGTATTGAAATATTGTGTACTGTAATTCCTGTATATGGGTAATACTTCGTTACAACCCTCATAATACAAGAAATGGAATTTATTCGCCATAATGAGCATTAAGCCTCATTATATTCATTCCCGATCATGGCTATTATATTGGATGTGGGTATAATACTGGAATATTTTGAAAATACACGCCCTGTAAAATTTTCGGAAAACAATAAAATGAAAATATGAAATGCTAATGGGACACTATTCAATTCAATTCAATGTATTTATTATTTTGTCCAATATTACATTTACTTGTACTGTATGAACACAGGACGGTGCGAAAGGGCCTCACCGAGACGCGAAAGCGTGATCACTCAATACTGAGCTCAGCTCAAGCTGCTGAAAGTCAATTGAATGAAATTTCCCCAGAATTTGTGGTACGAGTTAGACACCATTTTGTTTTGATGAACTAATCAGAAGTAATTTGCCCCATCACAATAATCACAGACTTATGCCAAGTAATCATGTTTACAGCACCACGACCAATACTTTCGCAACTGTTTTTAAAAAACAGCCAAGGCAATTTTAATAGCCTTGCACTTCACCTTTTAACATTTGCTTTATTTATTTATTTATTTATTTATTTATTTATTTATTCATGTTTTATTTATTACAATTGATAAAACAGTGGAGGGTAGTCCGATTCAGTTAAAAGAAACTGCTTTCCAACGGAGCCCTCCACATGATACAAACAGTAACATAAAACATAAAAACGAAACATAAATTAAAACATCAATATAACTCAATATATAAAAACATTTATACATTTGAATAAACTATATATACATGAGGCGCACGTGAATTGCACGGCTAGTTGTTAAAGCATGTTAGAGAACTGTTTACATTGTTTCTTGAAATTGTTTAGTGACTTGCAATTTTGGACGGACAATGAAGTCTTAATTGATCCAAAAATGATTCTATGAGATGTACAATATGGTAAATTGAAATTGCACTTGAGTAGGATTTTCGAAAGTATTTGCGATCGTTTTCTGTTTGGTGTTTGCTTCTTTATTGTCCTTTTCCTCTCTCAACGAGATCAATTTTGATATTCAGAGATTGTTGCCCACACTCTTCTAATTCAGTTTAACCTGAGCCTTGGTCTAAAGTCACGTTTAACACAAGAAAACTGAGACCTCAGATTAATTTCCTTGTAAAAACCCGATTTTGAACAAAAGCTTTACCCAAACATTGGCGTTGAATTCGCATATAATGTTGGCTTTTTACATTGCTATAATTGTACCATTCTTCACCATTTCTCTTGATAGGACGAGACATCACTCTCAAGCGCCGACACTGAAATAAGTGACCCCAGCCTTCTATCCGAAACAAGTGCCTCACAAGCTGTAGAAGGGGTCACCACTCCAGCAGAACCTGATAGACTGAGTCCACAGCCGCTAGATCTTAAAAAAGGTAATTAAACAAACAAACAATCATTTATTTAATGCATGAATGAATGAATGAATGGACAAATAAATACATAAATAAAATAATAAATAAATAAATATGACAGATATGTACAGATTATTGAGAGAACATATAAGAGATATTTTATTCTCGAATTGCCAAACGTTTTTCTTATGCATGAAAGGGGTTGTCTTAACTTTTAAATAGTTATTAAACACAAATAGCAAAGGATCTTGTGAGCCTTAGGAAACAGATTTTAAAAAATGAAACAATCATAAAACGAAAGAGTACATTCATTATAGGTCTACATGCGAATGGATTGAGGAAGACAGAGAGAAGGGAAAAGAGGGACGGGGTAAAGGAAGGATGCATCAAGTCCACATTATTTATTTTAAGAACACAATTACCAACTCATTAACAAAGGGCTGAAACATATACAACTCACAAACAGAGAGTCCTATCTATTGTAATCCAAGCTTGCCCTTGGAATAACAATAAACAATAACAACATCAGTAACATTAACCTTCAACAAGAAAACACACACTTTCTCCTTCAATCATGGGAGGTACAAGAACACATAGCTACCCTCAAAATCTAAACTGAGTTATGACATACAGTACCTCAAATTACAAGCAGAATGGGCCCCCTTCATTACAGAGGACCCTCCTCAGTCCAGGGTAGAAAGCAAATCAAAAGAAATGACTTAATACATCTTGGGGCCCAATCCGAGAGCGCGCTATATGATGCGAGAGGGTTGGACAGAGATGCATTTATCCTTTTTATGATTTATGATATTTTTATTTTTATACTAAGGCCGAAGTAGTTTGTACAGAGAAGGGGTTACATTTCCTTCGCAGCACACCCCCACCATCCAGCCCCTTTTGATACATAAACTAGTGTTTATGAATAGTATAATGATGAACTATGGCGAAGTGTGGGTCCAGAAAAATGAGGGTGCATCGTTCGTGTCGGTAGGTGGGGGGGGGGGGGGGGTGCAGGATGAAAGGCAAATCTGCATGATATCTATCGTATCTTCAAAGGAAAAGGATTGCTGGAGAATAAATCAAGCTATAAAAAGATAGTAAGAACATGGACAGTAACGATAACAATGGCGAGGAGAAGAAGAAAAAGAAAAAAAGAGGTAGAAGAAGAAGAAGAAGAGAGAAAGAAGAATATGTTTGGGAAAGCTTTATGCGATACAATAATCACTTTCTAATTGTTATAACTCATAGGGCTTCTTTAATAAGCATACACATACATGCTTTATTGAAAATGAGTAGGATATGCTTTAAGACCGGTGACGGGTTTGCGTTTTTAAGAAATTAGTTGCAGATTGGCAAAAATTCTTAAATTGCGATTGGCATACTGATGAATTTAATCGTTCTGCAGAGAGTCTATATCTTCATCCGAGAATCTGTAACCTCTGGGTAAAATCCGAGTGCCCCACATACCCTACTGTTCGTGGGGATCCCGCGAAGACTTTGGCTCAATACCCCCAACCCTTCCAGGGTAGGACTAGCCCGCACCCCCTCAATCGCCCCTAGGGTGCCTCAGCGTACCCCTAAGGGTACCCCAGTGTGCCTCCTGGTACCCCTAGTTTGCCTCGTTAGTACCCCCTTCACGCCTCATGGTACCCCTATTAGCAATTCCGTGAAGGGGGTCCTCCTATTAGAGGGGTCCGCGGAAGGGTGGGGAATAATGAGCGAGTAGAATCTTTATTCTCTCTCTCTCTCTCTCTCTCTCTCTCTCTCTCTCTCTCTCTCTCTCTCTCTCTCTCTCTCTCTCTTGTTGGCACATAGTACTGCCCCTGATCAAAACTTGACTGATTTTATGTCAAATGATGTACGGAATACCCTTTGTTACCCCCTTTTATTAAAACATTTTCTTTTGTAAGGTTTTTCACCTCCCATTCTCTGGGGCATGACATGTACAAATTTAGGTTACTAATTCACAATCACTCCAGATTGGGTTTCTCCTTGAATCCTTTATCACAATCGCGTAACTATTTTGAGTTCACTAATCGCTAATCGGTATTCGAAGGGAGTATTTCATCCCTGTCATCAACCGTATACTGTACATGTAGGTGGTACCAAGTTGTGTATATAAAAGGGGGTACGGTACATGTGCCCCCCCCCCCCATTAATTACCAAAAATATTAAATGAAAAGTGAGAAAAAGAGGGCGGAGGGGGAAATGGAGTATTAAAACAACAAGACTTTTCGACCCCCTCCCACACTCTCCCTCTTACTACAAAAAAACCTTGTCCAGTTGCATTTTATCCTCCGAGTTAAGACCAGTCCCCCACCAGTAATAATGGTGCCCCCTTCATGCCTGGATCCACGCTACGCCACTGTGACTGGTGGTACCCTCTTGCTGCCCCACCCATCCTAGGTCTGCCCATCAACATGGCACGCGTAGGTGAAAGGACCTTGGGTTGTCGTCGAGAGGGGCCAACAAAGTGTGTCTGGGGCACTTACGAAAGGAGACAACATCCAATGTAGATTTTCTTCGGAGAATTCCAGTTTTCAATAGGGTGCGGGGGGGGGGGGGGCTTGAAGTTCAACGTTTTAATGGTATTCTAAGACAAATCTACCCTTAGCTATACGAACATGCTCAATACCATTTTTTCTGAGATTTCGTGCCAGCTTCATTGCCTTGGAAGGAAAGCCATTGCTGAAACATGCCAACAGAAGTCGACATCTGACATTGTTTGTGAAATATGAAATACATAAACATATCCATATGCTCCATACAGTCAAACATGAAACATTCATCAATGCAGTACACATAGGCATCTTCAGACCGTTTTATTAACCGATGGAAGGGGGCGGGAGGGGGAGGGGTTGAGTGTTAGACCAATCGTGAGAACAACTTCAATAAACATTTTCGAACAAGAAACAAGTAGAACCTATTCGATTTGCTCACATGGCTACAACTACACATTTACACATTTTCTGGCAAAAACTGTCTTATGTGGTTGGGGGTAGCCTATACCCATTACCCCCCCCCCCCCCCTTATCGATGCCCCTTGCAGCAGATAGGGTATTGCAGATTGAGTCGTCACCGGGGAAAGTATACATTGCAATCCTATACACGGTAGAATAAGATATCTTTCTATTTATTCTCACAACAACCCACTCGATACCGCGTGTAGAGACAGATGATCCAGTATGTTGTTAGGATTTGAGGAAGTAAATCGGGGATGTTTCTCTCGCCCAGTGCCGAGTTTCCTGCTTTAAGTTCATGGCATGGCACCTTGAGCGGAAGAGAAAGCGAGGGTATTTATTTATAGATAAACTCCAATATAACTATATATTCTCTGGAATCAACTACTTATAGGTTCTAATCAGACAATGAAGACGCAAAGAGGCACCGGAATATTATTCTCAATATACTTCATAAGGCCTTAATTCCAAGAATAATGATATCCGCGTTTATGTTATTAATGTTTGCACTTGACTATGTAGTGCAACTGATATATATTACTACTATTTAGAATGTTGGCGAAATAAAATAAATTAAAAGATTATTAAACTCTATTTGCGAGACGGGAATATCAATAATGCTTTAGCAGGGGTTGTGATATCAGTTTGATCTTCGTAGTGGGTAGGCACAAACGGCTAGTGACTCCTTCCCGTTAAAGAGATCGTTTAACAATGTTAAATCTGAGATACACGGTCCTACATGTTGCCAGTGTCTGTGATATGGTATAATATTGAAGCTCTAAAAAAAATCGCGCTTCAAAATGATCAAGAAGTGCCTCAAAAAAGTAAAAAAATCTTTAAGTGACCGGTTTTACCTTACTCGCTTTCCCAATAGACTGTCGTGTTATGAAAACCGTTTGGCGAACGGTTTTCAAAATTTGTAATTCCAATCATTAATATCTTGATAAACAGACAGGCGATCGGCTTGTAAAAGTCATGGAGTTCCTGACAGACCCTAAAGGTTTATAATTATTATTGCAGCATGAGCTAAATCAAGGATTATTTCTAAAGGATCTAAGACAAAGTTACCGGATCCCTTTAAGAAACTCAGTCGGCACACCGTAGATAGAGAACAACAGAAAAATATTGCCCTGTGTCCTTTGTTAAGTAATTTTTCAACGAAGGGGCGGGTGTTCATTTTTTAAATAAATTCCTTGGAACATTGTCTTGTCATCATCTGACTTATACTGTGATCACCAATTTTGGATTGTTGTTGTTTTTTGTTGGGGGGGGGGGGGGGAGGGGGTTACAATTTCATGTGTTCTGTCGTTGTGTTTTGTTCAAGGGGGTAGGAGGCGAATCCTTTACCCCATTTTCCTACCTCGGAAATATTTCAAAAAAAAAAGATCTTTCACACAACATCCTGTTAGTATGTATCACCTGACATCAATAATGACCAACAGTTTGTCTATGTTGTGCAATCTGTCTATATGTTGTACTGATGGATTTATTCAATAGAGGGCAATAGCATAGCTGCCAAACATTCCAAATTTTTAGGAATGAGAGGGGGGGGGAGGAGAGAAGCTACAAAAATCCTGTTTTTATCGCTGTGCTCGTTTTTTGTCCCTTTAGGCCTATACATTTTTGTCCTACCTCAAAAATATCTTAACAACATCCCCTGTTTAATCACGTGACCTATCTTATGACTACCAGGGGAAATCATGAAGGAGACTGGCAGCCAGGGGACCCACACCCCCGACGAACACGGGAGATCATCCGCAGAGCCTGACACACAAGCCAAGACAGATTCAGCGTCCAAATCATCAATAACGAGGGCACCCCGGATGTGACCGCACCAAGCCAAGTTTTCGGGGTAACGTAAACTTTTACCGTTTCTTTCTTTCTCCTTTCTTCCTTCCTTCCTTCCTTCCTTTCTTTCTTTTTTATATTTTATTTTCCTTTGTCTCTCTTTATCCTTCTCTCTTTCCAATACCCCCCCCCCTCTCTCTCTCCCCCCTCTCTCTCTCTCTCTCTCTCCCCCTCTCTCTCTTTCTTTCAGTCTGTTTCTGTCTCTTTCTTTAAAGGATAATAATAAGAATAGTACCGAATGCCATGCTAAAGCCAATTTTATCTTGTTGTCTGAGACTCTATTTTTTGTACCCGCACATTATTTTTGCCTTGAATTTCAGTTGTGTAAGGGTTCACAATAATTGTACCTATTCGGCTTGAATACCAACTCTGACTGCATGGCTCAAATATGACTTGCTCAGTGAAGCTGGAATTCAGAAGAAGAAAACAAATTTGAGGAAGATTAAAAAACGAAATTAAAGTTGTGATTTAAACAAGCGAGAGAAAGGAATTAAAAAGATGTTCAAACAAATCAGACAACTCATTAATTCAAATAAATGGCTGGTTGGTAAATACAAATAAATTGCAAATCGGTCTTTATTTGTTGACGTCCTTATGTTACTAATCAATAGTTGTACTGCACATTTTACAACATCAGGTTATCAATATCCACTTTTATCTCGTTTGGGACTTTACCTAAGATATAATAATCGTAACATGTTGTTTTCAATGAATATTCTTATTTTATTTCAGAAACATTTTGATAGACTTGTATATTTATATTTAGAAATATTCAAACTCCCCAAAATACCCCCAGAACGAGCTTCGTATTGTACTGTCGTATTATCGACATTTACTTTTCTTTCAGGCAAAACTAAATTTGCTTGCTTCTAATCTGCAAAAAAAATTCAGCTCCACAGTCACATTGAAGATATATTAAGCAGTCTTGAACGAATCATTGTAATCATTCTTTACTTAATGCTTTGATAGAAAGCAATCCATGTAGGCCTTTTCTTGGCCGTATTATTTCCTTCTCCTTGTCCAACCCCATTGTTCCTGTCTATATTTATATCCATGCAATCTAAAATAAAGAAAAATGACTCATATCATTTTAAATATCTCATCTTCATAAAGAGGGAAAATCACCACACAAACACTCGAGTGATTATGAATAATGATTACGTATTATTACATTATCACTTGGGTTGAGTATGCGCGTTTGTCGTGTTTGTAAGAGTTTGCACACTGCATGTGAAGTCATTAACAGAAACACAAGTCACATCTTTAAATGGCTTGTATTGAGTAATAGTGAGAGTTACAAAGTTGTCATATAGTAAGCGAATATTCAGAAATACAAAGATAACTGCAAATACGATGCCTTCTCTTTTGGTGAGACTTTGCTGAATAAAATTGACTTGCCGCAGTTAAACAAGACATTCAGATATATTTTGGTTATCATTCATCAACAAATAAAACATGTTGAGCTACCCTTTAACATGTATTTTAGTGATTTTCGTCTTCTTTTCCTCTTCTTCTGCTCCTTCCTTTTCTTGCTTTTCTTTTCCTTCATCATCTTCTTTTTCGTTTTTCTCCTCTTTTTTTTGTGTGTGTTTGCTTGTTCTTCCTCCTGCTTCTTCGTCCTCATGATCATCATCACCACCACCACTATCATCATCATCTTTACTCCCATCTTCTACCCCTCCTTCCCCTTCTTTTTTAACTCGAGAATAAATGAAGAATAACTTGAAACATTTTCTCTGCATTTACTTACTCTAGCCGGCAGCGAACGGGTACGGGTACAGCCTTCTAGCGGCTGCTGCTGCCGCTGCGGCGTCGGGGGAATCGAGTAGAGAGACGCCCGAAGATCTCACAATCAAAGACGAAGACGACGACGACGATGGAGATGATGACAGCGATAAGATGGGCGAGACCGCCCCCGGCGTCGACCCCGAGAGATTGAAGGCATTTAATGTGAGTATCCAATCGAAGGGCTTGGAAGGGGAAGTTTTCAAGACGATCGAAAAGACTTTCGAAAATCAAATCAAATTTCAGTACCCAATTATTGTCTGTCTCATCGAAATTTTGTTCTGAGAAGTATAATAATGTTAATGTAATGTTCGCACATTTACAATAGTTGATGGAAAATGCTATTTTATTGCCATAAGTTGATTTTAAAAAAAAACGTCATTCTTTTCGATCATGATTGTTGTTCTTCTTCAAGCCAGTCACTATGGTCATATATGACTGATTGACTCATTTGTCTTTAAAGATTGTAGTTCATGTTGTTATTTGATTATCTTAAAGCCCCACTGCACTACGTATAGCAACTTGCGACCTCTATATAGCAAACAATGGCTAATCGGTGATCGCTGGTCCGCCATGATCCCCCTTTTGTGTTAATTGAGAGTTGATTTGATGAGTTAACCACCTGTCAGTGACCATGGAGGGAAGTCTAATCCCTCCTGGCCAAACTAGTGTAGACTGGCTTTAATATCCATCATCAGTGGCATAGCATGAGCCTCAGACATTGAGGGGCACTGGTATCATGGGGGTGGCCGGGCAGGGTTTAGTGTGTAGGTGAATTAATGCAAACTAACAAGGCCATTGCGTAATGAAGGTTGTGGAAAAGGGTCCTTTCATTTTATATTAATTTTAGCTTTCCCCTGTCCCTTGCCTCATGCCCTCCCTCTTTTGGGGGTTATTTTTTTTTAAAAACCTTTCCATGGATGGGGGGGGGGGGAGAGACAGGTGCCCTCGTGCCCCTTTGTAGCTACCCACTGCTCTTCACCATAGCAAAGACAATCATGGAAGTTTGATAACTACTGATTGCATTTTAAATATTTTGCCCCAAACTTTAGCATGCTTAAGCCCCACTGTACTGCTTGTAGCTAGTTGCTCCCTCTACATTGAAAACAATGCCTAATCGATGACCATTGGTCCCCCATGATCCTCGTTTTCTTATGTTAATTGAGAGCTGAGTTGATGAGATAGCCAGTCCAATACTTCAATATAGTAATAAATAATCTCTTAAAATTACCCCAATAACTGAAAATCATAGGTATATTTATATTTTCAAGAATCCCTTCAAGAAGGATGTGTCCATACAGTTCGTGGGGAATAACTCAAGTAGTTTATTTTAATTCAGCACCCACATTATATTATTTATTCACAGAAAACGTTTTGGTTGTTTCGGCATGTAGCATTCAATAGGCATAGAGGATATGATATAGACTTACACCCCCCCCCCCTCCCCTCCCCTCCCTCTTCACTATCGAAAGTTTTACCACAACGGTACCACTGCCAGTTAAAAAAAATGATATTGGGTACGTGTTCAGGACCGAGTTACTTCCTTGTATACCGTGCCATTCCAACCGCAATGAACTTCACATATTAATGGTGCATGTGTAGTCCTATCAAAAGCCATAGCTATCAATAGATATATCTATACGCTCTCTCTCTCTCTCTCTCTCTCTCTCTCTCTCTCTCTCTCTCTCTCTCTCTCTCTCTCCTGTGCCCTTTGCTTCTGAGGGAAAGAGAAAACTTTCTCTTTGGCTTATCCGGCAGAGATGACGAACAATCTTGATTTGTCCGATCCCTCGCCCCCACTCTATGTACATGTTATGTATGGCTTCTTCTCTTGAAAAGCTTGATGGTATAATTATATATATCATATGAATTATGACGTAGCTTTGGTCCAGGCATTGATGGGGATATGTTTGATTGGAGGGGGGGGGGCATGGTTCTACAACTTAGATGAAATTCAAATTCAAACAAGACTGTCAAGTAATATGAGGGTTTGCAAGGGGCATAGCAACCTTATCTAGACCACATTTATTCCCCCCCCCCCTCTCTCCTTTCTTTCCGTCACTTTATCTCCCTCTGTTTTAACCACTCAATGAGTGAATGGGGGGGGGGGGGGTGGCACCCTCTCGCCCCTTTTTCTACACCTCTGTATATAAATAATATATAAAAGCATATTATTGGAATGAACAGACGAATGATTTACTTCCTCATGCGTAGTGATACTGTCTTAAAATAAAATAGAATGTAAGGACTTTGAAAAAAAAATAGAAAATGAAAATGATATGATTAAGGTGACAAAGGCAAGATAGATGGGCCGAAAAATCGGGACGTTCGCCAATATCAGCAATAACTCAAACGATTATTGTCGAGTAGGTATGTGTGAGTGTAAGAAAGACAGAGAGAGAGAGAGAGAGAGAGAGAGAGAGAGAGATTGAGCGAGAGAGAGAGAGAGAGACAGACAGACAGAGAGAGAGAGAAGAGAGAGAGAGAGAGAGAGGGGGGGGGGGGGGGAGAGGGGTTGATCCGTGGGCGTGTGAAGTGGAAATGAAAGTCATTAACTAACATGATGGATAGTGTCATTATTTAATCAGGCACCACTACCACGCTCCAAGTCACGTGATAAGCCACGTGACTTGTCCATACCTATTGATCACCTTAGCATGGTTCAATGTCCTCCTGGCGTAACAATAATCAACGGGAGAAATAGAAGAAGAAAATGAAATAGAAGATGTACGAAGAAAGAGGAGAAGAAACACCGAATTGTTTTGTGGCTAATTTTCTTTTTGTGGGGGGGGGGGGGGTTCTATCATACCTGAAGTACACAGCCCTAGCTTAAGGGGCAGTTTTTAAATGATAGACCCTTAAACATGCATATTTGCCTAATAATGTATGTAAATCCATGTTACCACCACCACCTCCCCCCCCCCCCCCCCCCCCCCCAGCCATTTGCTTTTCTACAATCAATAATGATCGTGTTTTGTTTGTTTTAATATTGTTGTAGTTTTTATTAATGTGTTTTTGCTAGGTTATTTTCTTCGGGTAAATTATTTATGAAAATGAAATTGAACAGCTTTTCCCTTCTTCAGATTTGGAATGTGAAAGTACCTGCATTGTAACTCAGATGAGGGGAGGAGGGGGAGGGGTGATTGATCTATATTCGTTAAGAGGAGAGAGGCGACGAGAAGAGTTGATCACGAATAACCACGAAATATTTTATAGAATACCTACAACATTCCAATTATTAGGAAAATCGTCCAGTTGTCCCATGAGTATTAACGACTATCTC